GGATGGCCCTTGTGGTCTCTTCTAACTCTATGATTCTATGATTCTACAGGATAACCTTCTCCTGTACAATCTGCCCCATATACTCAGGTCCTTTGTAGGACATTTACTCCAATCAGCCAGGACTAGGTTGGCAACTGTCAGCCAGTGGGTGTTTTCTCCCGATGCCACTGGACTATGAAATGAGCTTACAGAAGAGATATGACAACTGAATATGGTGTCCAAGTGTAAGACAGCATTAAAGACAAGTCTCTTCCAGCAGGTTTATCCAGATGGTTTTAAAGAGTAAGTTTTAAATGATGAATTTTAAATATGGATTGTTTTAATATGCATGTGCCTTCTCTGTTTTTAGGTATTCTCTGTTCATGTGTATTTGTTGGTCTGTTGTTGTTCCCAACCTCAATCCATTGCATTCAGAATCCGTTCATTACTAATATTTAATTTTGATATGTGTTTCTCCTCCCTTGCTATCTGAAGAATTGGAATCAATACACCTTGCTCCCTTTTTGTAGGTGATTTGTTCATAGGTATAGATGTATCCAAATACATAAATATAGATATGCTATTAATATAGCAGCTAATAATGATTTTGACATGTTCCTGCACCCACAGTTGTACCCACATACAGCTGCATGTGCACCAGGGTGTTTGTATGTGTGTTATGTGTGCTGAAAGGGGGAAATTAGATCCAAGTGCTGGCAAATCCAGTGTGGAAAGGCAAAAGCAATAAATACCTGGAGCAACAGAACTATAATATGAAGACACAAAGATTTTTCTGGATAGCTAACATGCAAAGAACTTAGCTCATTGCCTGCCGCTCTGCCTGCTATTCTGTGTATACAGAGAGAGCCTCTCACAGCATCAAGACTGGGAAGAGTGGAACTGATCTTCAAGCTTTACAGCAAGCAGTGTAATATCTAAGATTTCTGTTCCATAGCTGGTGGTTTCCTTTGGTATGGGGGATGCCATTTGTGAGGAAGGCAGAAAAAGAGGGAGATATGGAGATCTCTGTATATGGTCACACATCACAGTTGGCACCCTGTTAGTGGCATATATAGATGTAAATTAACTTTCTGCCTGCATATGTCTATTTTTTGGTTGCCACAGAGGTTGGTATTACCTCTCTCCTTCCAGAGTAACCAAACCCCACTGCCTTAAAGCTGCTGAAGCCCCACATCCATAGACATTCATGTCTGGAAGAGGGCAGGAGGATTAGAGTGGCATCTGGATGTGTTCCTGTAGGCAGATACAAAATGTTTATCTGAGTTGCTGAGATGTGCAAAGGTCCCTGCCAGACCACAGCAGTTGATGCAATCACTCTATGGGGACTTAGGCAAATGTTTTTGTAATCTCTTCTTCATCCAGTCATAGATGGCCATGAGTGGGGCTCCAATGGCAATATGGTAGGTCTGGGGTGGTAGTGGTCAATGGTATAGGATAGTTCCACATGCAAAAATACTACACTATGGTGAGCCATGTAAGATTGGCCCTCACATCCTTAAATAGCCACAGCTATTTAAGATTGCTGCTTACTGTTTTTGTTTTAGGAACAATGCTCCTTTAAGACAGTGTAAAATAGTTTGTATGGCTGTAAATGAGAAGTAATGCCAGGATTCAACCCTTAGTCATCACCACTTTATATAAGTGCTCTAAAAGCTAGGGCTGGTGTGGGCTGAAGATAGAGGGTTGATGAAGAGAGTGGTTTGTAGAGTATGAATTGCTGTATATCAGACAGTGAATGTTGGAGAGAGTTAGTATATAACTTTTACATATTGCAACGAGTGATAAAAGCCTCCAAGGACTTTTGGAAGAATCTAACTCTGTCTCTGCACCATTCAAGGTTGGTCAATGCAATATTGCCAAATACTACAAACTGGATTTGTGTTTCTGCAGTCAAGCACCTCAGACAGTGTTGATAGTTGGCTTCTCTAGTGGGCCTAGTTTTTGTTTTTGTTGTTGCAGGACATAGAAGAGAGCCAACATTTTGGTCCTCTATCTCTCCAGTGGCTCACCTTCTCTCACCACCACTTAGATTCTGTACAAAATTAACTGGCTAGTTTAGGAGGCTGAGTAGGAATGGAGCTGTGAGGCACTGGATGGAGGTGCTTCTTGGCACACTATCTTCCACACTTTATGGCAGGGGTAGGCAACCTTTCCCCTTTAAGGGCTGAGGGACTTCAGCTCCCAGAATCCCAGGAGCTATTAGCCAACATGGGACTATTGGCCAACATGGCTGAGGCTTCTGGGAGCTGAAATCCCTCGGCCCTGAAAGGGGAAAGGTTGCCTACCCCTGCTTTATGGCACGACTAGGGAAACGAATAGTGGATGTATTGCTTCACTCTTTTCCCTAAAATGGGCATATTCACCCTAATCTAACAGGAACTTGGCCATCTTGGGGTAGGTTGCCATCATACATAATTTGCTGATTATTCTCAATTTAATAAATTATGGTCCAAATTCAACCAAATCTTTGTCTCTGCCCCCTTATTTCCTCTCTCTCTCTCAATCTGTCTCTCTCTGCAGTCTTGTTGTGCCTAGGATCTGAAGGACTTATAAGTCTTCCACTTGTTGGTCTGGATGTTTCTAGGCAAACCATCTTCCACACTTTATGGCATGATATTTATACCTCCTTACTTCCATTCCTACTATGTATATGATAGTTTTAGCATACAATTTGAACAGATAGGGTCATAGGATGTAGACTTGCTTGACTCTCTGTCCAATTGGAATCCATTATGTTTCTCCACACCCTGTTCTAACAGTAGCCTCTTGTTCTGTGTACAAGTTATGCATCAAGATAATCATTTTTTTATTGCACATCTGTTTCTTTGAGAACAATCCACAGCTTTTTCTGTCTATAGAATCAAAGGCTTTATTATAAACTGAGTTTCTTTGGTAATTCTTTGGTGAGCTCCATTATGCAATGCATGTTTTCAGTGCTGCTGACCTATATCCCCTTATTTAACCATGCAACCTGCTCTTAAATTAAATCATCTCCAGGGGCCAACTAGACCAAATTTTGTGAACTTGCAACATACAGAAATGCACACAATAAGACTGTTATTTTATTTTTTTATTTTTTATTTTGCTACATTTGACAGTCTTTGATACATCTTTAGCAAAATCAAAGTCAAGTTGTCTAAACTTTTCTGGATATGGTGTTTAGGAAGTTTAATATAGTTAAAGGTTTTCAATCAGATTATTTGTGTGTGTGTGTTGTACTTTATGTTGGGGGATTATGTTTTCTGTATGTTTATTTTTAATGTTATTTTCTGTATTCAAATTCATGTGTTCAATTAAAAAAAGATGAAATTGCAAAGGGCCTTTCTCTTTCATCCGAATGTCCTCAATATGTTTTAGACTACAACATTGCCTACCTCTGCTTGAATAACTGTAACAAAATCCTGCATATTTTCCAAGGAAATTTACATTATTATTATTATTATTATTATTATTATTATCCCTTTTCCTAGTATAGGGACTCAAGGCAGTATAAAACAATTCAATTTAAAAACAGTACAATATTAAGATATATAAATGTGAAATTTAAAAAAAAATAAGAGTTAAAAGAGTTATAAATTAAAATATAATATGTTAAAATACAAAATTGAGATACTGCATGGATGGCACAGCTGCGATGTTGCAGCCATATTCCATCTCCCTATCTGACCCTATAAAACTCACCTTCACACCTGTCATGAGTGAAGGAGTTCTGTAGTGTTGGTTAGTATGATGTTGCAGAATGATATGTCCAGCCATTCCTGAATGAAGTCAGTGTTGTGAGAAAAAGAAGGGATCCCTGTGGAGTTCTGCTGCAACTCCACATCATATTACACCTTACTGGTGGGAGGGGGATAGATATATTCAGTACTCTGCTTGCCAAACCTGTAGAACTCCATCATTTTGTATGGCTGCCTGGGTTTCAAAATGGCTTTAGGA